GTCCACTCGACCTCGAGGTCTAATTGTTAATTATAATTTTTAAACGTAATTTCATGTAATTTKTCAACAAGAAAAGAAAAGGATACTGAACTGGATTCTTCTTGATGCCATGATAGTGTRCCYCTTCACTTCGCCACAGGCAGCCCAMCCGCRGTAAGTGTAAAGGAAATTATATCGTCCAAAAATGCGTTTTTTAAGACGACGTTGAATTGATCTTCCGGCACGTCGGAAAAGCAGCGGAACAAATGATATCATTAAACAGATTTGATATTTGTAATGATACATTTGCAAGTTGGGCAATCTCCGCGCGCCCATGTAATATCCCCTATTTATTTAGCATTTATCGATAGTAATTATACTCGCTCAAAACACAGTTAGTTTACAATCTAGCAGTGAGTGGTCCTTTGGATTTTAAGAGTCTTGCAAGAGTCTAAAACAGCGGCAGACAGAAGATCTCHCATTCATTGTAATCGAAAATGTGGCTCTCGATTTTCCGGCAAAAATATTTATCAGACAGCCTTATRATTAAACCTTATGTATGTCGCCGTCTCGGAAGTCTCGGCAACAAGACGTCCATTCGAGAACTTTCAATGTTAAAACTACTGTCTTCCTAGTTTTTGCTTTCTTACAAGCACATTTCTGCTCATTCTTTAACTAAATGTTCAACGTGATCAGAGACTTGAGTCAGGTACTTTTTTTGTTCTTAAATAGCTGGGTTTCCATTGTCCTCCGCCATTTTGTTTTTCTTCGCAAAATCCTCAAAAAATCATCTCATTTCGTGCTTTAATTTCTCCCAGTAAGAAAGGTATACGTCTAAACTCTCGTCATGTTCTCTGATATCAGTACTAGCTGATCAATAGTGCGTGTGAGAGCAGCAGTGCATAAGTGCAGATTTTAACGGCAAAACTCCAACCAAACGCAAGCGAGCTTCTGACATAAGTACTTTTCGTTCAAGGCAAAATTATAATATTTAGGTCTTATTAACCGAGCGCGAGGCTTCCAGTTTTGGGTCYACATCTTGTTATAGGTGATGATAAATCGCGATTAACATCCATTCAAACGATGGACGAGTGCACCTTGCTTTTTAATTGTAAACGTTACATTAATAATTTAATGAAAATTATTCAACATTTAAAGTTAATGTAAAAGTCAAAMCGTGAACTTTATAAAGATGAAACACTAAAACAATCGACGATGATTATYTTACAGATGTTTCAAGTTAAATATCTATTTCCTCTTGTCTCTCTTTTCCTGTTAACACGCCTCTTTCCCTTTTTCTTTSTTAGTCAGTTCTGTTGCTTGATTTTCGTTTCCCATTCAATTCCCTTGCACCTTTCCGTTCATTGTTTTTTTCTGGATGTCTTCATTAGTTATTTCATTTAATTTCCCCTCCCTTTTCGTCATTTCCTTTCCTCTCCTTTCCCTTACTCTTTCTTTTCCTCTTTTCTTGGCGTTTCTGCAATATAATGAAATTTTGAATGTTTTTTCCTCTCCTGTTTTATTTTTCTTTAACCTGTCTCTCTTTTTCATTTCCTTTTTTCTCATTTCTATGTTTTCCCAAGCTGTCTTCTGTATGTTTTYACTCTTTTCTTTTTCGACTCGATTCATCTTTTCATTCATCAAAAAAATTTCATCACTTTTTTACGTTTTTCAAGAGAACGCGAAATGAAATTGCAGTAGAAGTGAATCTTTAATAATTACATTTGTATGGGTTTGTGATTGTTAACTTTACACCCGGTTACCAAAGTAAACAAAAKCCTCGGTCATATAAACCAATATTTTGTTTGATTAGACAATTGACTAAAATCAAAATCAATTGGCATTTCATTTGTAAGCTAAATACAAGAAAAAACTAATTCTTTTTGTARCATATTCAACATCGCCTTGACGAAGCGCCGCGCACCGCGGCGTACCCAAAGGTTTCAATCGAGACAACCTAGAATCAAAAAGTAATCGATTGCCTCGTCCCTCGCTGTTTTATTGAATGCCACAAATGAGCACGTTCCTCTTTTGCGGTAATTGAAAGAGTTTAATAGAATTGCTTTATAGAAAGCTCTCTGCGTGTAGCAATCTATTGGAGAATTGAGCGTAGTTTAAGCGACGGTGGTCTATGTTCATCGCAGCTAGAAGYGACCAAGCTGTTTTATCTGATAATAAAACTACAATGAAAGCATGAAGACCATTTATTAAACGGTAAAACGGTTTGTAGTAKGATATATAACGGCGAGTATCCTGGGGAGACGATGGTAATTTTTTAATCATTTTTAATCAATTAATGTGATWTTCAAATATTCTAAGGTAGTTTGATATTAACAACTTTCCAGAAAATAAATTYAAAAGGAGAAAAAATGAACAGCGCTCTTTTTAATTTTRAGTTGTTTTGTGTAAAAATAACAGGTCAACTCATTACATAATTATTTTCCGTGCCATCATTAAGGTCTATTAAGTGCGAGTGAAAGATTAATTTCCATTGATTTGCACCCGCATTTTTTTTTGTCAAATTCATACGCTTAAATCCTTTAATGTCGCTATTATAATTTAGAAAATAGCTAAAAGCTTTTTAAACTGTTGTAAATGAGCTAGTTATTATAGTCGGTTTTTAACGTTCGACTGAATTATGTGTGATAGTCGAATCACTACATCTTTGCCTTGTAATAAATGCCTTGTAATGCATACGTATGCGTTAGAGAACGACAGTAAAATGTTCGCTCATAAATATAGCATGCGGAGGCAAAAAAATTGGCTAGTTAAGTTAATACAGTCCCTCTTCGCCCTTGTCAAACATCTTGTGACTTAACAAAGGCTGACAAAGACGAGTGGGAAGCAATCACCGACTCTCTACATGGCTTTTTTTCAAGTGTATCTTTTCCTATAGGACCAGAGACAATGACCACGGAAGCAAGTTGCCTTCACATTTCCGCGTATTGTTTAAAAGAAATGTTCCAACTCTGACTGGCGTCACCTATAGATAAGAACTTAACTTTTGTTGCATTGGACAACTATATATACCAAATTAACTGACGTCATTGGAAAGTACAAAAAACGGCGAGATACCTTCGTTGTKAGTGTATTTCAAAGAGCTGCTTCTTGTACTTGCAAGACTGGATATAGAGAGAGGCATTTCAAAAGTTAGTCAGGTACGTCTTGAATGCTTGAATCTATATTAATATAAAAAACAGAAATGCTTGAAATAGCGCGGTTTCTAAGGAGTCGGACTACGTTTTAATCGGAGTGTGCTTGCTATTCTGTTCTTTTCACGTTAAGTCTTTACCAGAGAAGGTTACTCGTCTCGTTATTTCCCCCTCGAATTAAAAGTTATGTAAGCCGCTAATAATTGATACGTTTTCTGTACCTTTTTACTAATCATAGTGGCTGAAACCTTCTTTAGTATTAGATCAAAAAGGCACATATATTCTTTCACCTTGTCACAGACTTTAGTTCKTACCTACATATTTTTAACTAGTTAACTAGATAATTTTTGGCCAATTAAAAAAAAATATTAAAAGTAAGACTTCTAAATGGAAGAAATTTGTGTAGTGTCGGTCTGTTTAAGCTCAATTTTAACTGSGAAAACAAGAAATTAAAGATTGCACATATATGCACATTTCAATTATCATAAACAAGATCTTCACAATCACCTAATCAAACAAAATTACAGCGGAAAACACTATCCAAAACGGCTCTTCAGCCAGAGYATGAGCATTTCACAAAGAAAGTCCTATAGTATATTTGTTTTTTGGTTACGCGCGCTTCAGCCAGTGAGAAGTGGTTAGAAATTAAGTTGATATGTCAAAWTAAGAAGGCCAATTTTGAATCGTTGTTTCTCAGCCTTCTTAAAAGAGTTTTCCTGTTCTTTGAGTAACAAAAAAATTTTCAGAATTCGCAGCAATTTGCGAGTRAGGCCAGTATCTGTTATACATTTAATTGCCAAAACCGTTTAGGACATCTGTATTTAATAAAAAAAAGAAAACATCAGAAAAAAACACAAAAGAAAGCGTTGAGCTTTTGTATTTTTTAATTTATTCTTTTTTACTAAAGTACAAATGTCCGCAACGTCTTTCTAATTAGATGTATCTTTAAGATGATCTAGAAAATTCGCCAGTGTTGATACAGCCTCTTGCAGAAAATGTTGATTGTTATACATTTCTATATTATAGCTTAATTCTAACACGCGCGCYGATTGGTGGATTTCATGAGAAAAGCTATGGTTTATTTCTCCGGTAAACCARCCTGCTGTCTTGAAAATGAGGTTTACTGGCGAAACAAATCATTGGGGTGGTTGTTGGGAGAACACTCGAAAACTAGGTAAATCACTCGCCAACCATCCCGCACGGTATATTTTGCCAGTAAACCGTTTCAAGCTATCGTTAAAAAAACATGAACCTATCGAGATGCAGAGGTACATTCCAAGATTTCATCACGGTGTTCATCAGAGAAAAGTAGGAATAAGTAACCAACCATTGCCATCAAATGATTTTCGCGGCAGATTTTGTGAAAGTAAATGGAGAACTTCTGTCCATTCTCTCAACTTGCAACATCCATCCAATTTTAAATATTAGTACAGTTGATAGGTTTTCCAGAATATTAAGTTAAATTCTTTTGTTAAACTTGATATATCTCTGTAAGCATTAGAAGATTTTTTTCCTTGTTCTATTGTCTGTAAGAATCACGACGCGTGATTCTTGGATGAAACGCGAAATGCTTTGAATCACGAGCTGAAAGAGAGCTGATTCAAATTCCTTTCCGAATGTTCTTCCAAGAATCCCAAGTGTTTTCACAAAGAATGGAAACACAGAAAACATCTTATAATGATTTTATAAAATAATAACAATTTCTTTAAAGCCGTGTTTCTATGCTCTTTTACTACCCAACAACAAATTTTCCTCTGCTCTCATTGGCGGAGAGTCGATCCACGTGATGSGATTGTGCCCACCGCTCAGGGATACTATTATTGCATAAAGCTCATCAATTCAGATTGATATTCAAATTTTTTTGAATATCAAAAACAATAAAGTAGTTAAAATTTTGCTGTGATAGATTTTTCCTTGGAAAGTAAATGTTTCTCAAAACTTCATAGTCACCCTCCGGCGAACTGCGTCCTCGATTCAACTACTATTGTTATAAAAACACGGTGTTTTGCACATTTCTACCAATCAACGCGCGTGTAATATAATAGTTATTTTATAATATCTCAATAGATATTTGATAAGTGTCATTCAATATACGTTTCAGTCCGCACAATCTTTTTGCAATTGACTGTTATTTTGGCACAGTGCAATATAGTTAATAGCTTGCATCATCAAGAACAAAGTGATTTTTATTTTGTTCGTGTCTCTCCTAACGGTCCTCTCGAGACCTCTACATCTCAACAATGCACACTTCTAATTGGTTACTTTTTTATCATAAACTATAGCAGCAACCATCTGCTGGCTCTAGATACAGTCATTCGTAAGGAGTAACATTTAGGTATTGTAAAAAGATATGTAGAAACAATTCTGAGTAAAGTCTGGAACTTAGCCTCGTAAGACAGACAATGATCAAACTTTTAAATAGTCAAATAGCTTTCTTCAGAAGAGTACTATGGCATGCGCAGTGAAACACACTCAAATTGAACTATTGTATATGTTTTTTTTAATTGAGCGACATTTGAATTTTCTCGGCAAAAACACTTGAATCATGAAAAAACTGCACATGCGTTTTAAAAAAAATCACATCCGAGGGATGCTTAATGTTTGCATTCAATATTTCTTTGATGGTTTAATCAGTGTCACGATCATGAAAACACGAGTAGATCGTGCATCAAAATACCGCTAAGAAAAAAGGTTGAAAACACGAGGCGAGGCGGAKTCTTTTACCCCTGTTTAATATAATGTTTTTTTCGTGATAAGCTGATCAAACACGATCATCTATTTACTATTGGCATACATACATACTGGAATGACGTCAACATTAATTAAAAAAATCTCATGTTGTGTAGTGCAATTAAAAAAAAGAAACAGAAAAACAAACAAAAGTAAAAAATAATAATTTCAAACTTTTGAGAACTCACAAGTTATTTTGGTCATCAAATTTGCACCTGGTTGCGAGCATTMCTGTGACGTCATCATAAATTTGAAACCTTTATTTTTAACTGTTAGTTGAAAAGACAATTTTCGTATTTCTTTAGCTATAAACATAATGAGAACATGCCATGATATAGATAAAATAGAATATACARCTATTATTGATTATCATTGACGTCATGACAGCGTCATGAGCCTGGACTCCTACGCAGATGTCAATCCTATTGACCCCCCTCTGTATATATTACGCCTGACAGTGTCCATGCTGCTGGTAACGTTCATTTAACTCTAGTATAGTACAGCAGTTCAATTCATACGATTTCCTACTAACTAGATACCTTAACACCGATACGTTTAACCAGATCCAAAAATAGAGAATTTTTGTTACTGGCCAATGTCAATATTGGGGTAGAGCTCTGCCAATACCACCAGGAACTCTAAGTTGAATTGTATCGTATGGGTTCTCATGMTTTTCCCAAGTAGGTGCTATGTAGTATAGTTTAGCGAAATGGAAAGTAGCACCGCCCTAACTTATTTCCCAAGAACACGCGAGAGACACTTAGAGAGCCGAGAAGCATATCGGCTATGATGATCGAGGACATGATTTAACGTCCGATGAAAATCGAACCCTGGCCTATCGACACCAAATCTCAAAATAAAACCACATCTCAATTACCTTGCATTTTATAGTGCGCGCAGAAAATGGTAAATGCAATTGTAATAGAAAAACAACAACAAATGCGATTGAAATCGTTTACAAACACTCAGAGATAAATTACTGGAAATTAAATTAACGAAGAAATGGGATAAAAATGAAAGATTTTCAGTTTAATCCACTATTGAAATCATTTGCAAATTCTCAGAGCTAATTTAAAATAAGCTCTGAGAAGAACTAAAACCAAGACATTCTATCCCTTTTTGAATCTTATGAACTAACTTAATCACATTCATGTCGGAGTTCAATGCAGTCGATGGCCTTTGTATAAAGGCCGAAATATACAAACTAGTTAAAAATGATAAAGCTTCTCGTAGTTGTCTTTCTTTTTGCCCAAAGGAATATATTAATTTTAAATTCAATTTGATTATATTTGCACCTTCTTTCCACCAGATGTCTCAACTACATTTCTCGCATTCCCAAACCCTTCTGGGYCTTGCTATGATAATGGTGATCTTGATGTCAACGTCATGGGCMCGACCACGTGACAGGCTTATGTCAATGGTTTTAGATTTTCCTGACGAGTTTCCAGTTTACAGAACTGCGCATGCGCCCATGAGTAGGAAAAGAAACCTTGTATTGTCGTCAAGAATTGCYGAGCCATGTTTTCCAATGTGTCTTCCAAACAAAGAAACGAATAAACCAAGTGGAAGATGATGTTTTTAGACATTAGATATATTGAATAAAAGCGATTTTTCWGCGGAATGCTTGTAAGATATATTGATTAGTGGTCATTGCCAATAAATGATGGATGGGAAATAATGATATAACTTGATTTTATAGAGCACGTTGAAATTCCAGTACYGTTTTTTTATAAATAAGATAAGAAAACATCGTAAATTTAAATTGTTGACAAGTTGACAATAGTCTCCTTCACGGTTACCTTCGCCATCTTGAAAGGTAGCCGTGCCTTTGCATCGAAGCGAGAGAACCGTTGAGCGTGCAATGATAGAAACCTGTGAATAATTGTCTGTAGGTGTGAAAGAAGGTTTCTATCATTGCACGCTCAACGGTCGTCTCGCTTCGATGCAAAGGCACGGCTACCTTTAAAGATGGTGCGGGGAAACGTGAAGGAGACTATTAATAAATCCACAATCAACTAAGTGCTATAGGGCGAGATCCGTCCTCGAAAATTGGGACAAATATTAGGAACCCAGGATCTCCCACTCCATATTCCTCGGTTGTCCAATTCAATTCAATTCAATTCAATTTTTATTTTTACACAAGGATCGTGATATCTCATAGGATGATTTGGGTGACTTTTGTGCCTTCTTTGGTGGACATGGTCGATGACAAGCGCATCTTCTTCCACATAGAAAACTTCTAACAATTGGTTCTGAAACTGTTTCTCCCTCCCTAGACTTGTACCCGTAAATTTCTTCTCCTGTTTTGTGTCCATCTAGGGATCGACTTGCTATTATTTATTGGCAGGGGTGGGGAGGAGGACTTTCTGATATATTAAATATTTTCAAAATGCACTCCACCCCCCTCTCCAAAAGAGGGGTTAAGTTTTTCTGACGGCCTTAAATTCTTCCACCCCACCCTGGCGGAAAAAATATATAGGTCCCTTAGCGAAGGAAAATTGCAGGTCCCTAACTTGCATTTTCAGGGAGGTTATTGATCACGCGGTTTATTTTTAATTTTTTTATATTTGCTTATGCAAACAGATCAAACAGATCAAACGATTCCGGAAATCTTACTATCCACAAACTTAGTGCTGTATACGAGTGTCCGGATACGTGTGGATCCTGTTCTGATACAAATATGGAACCAATCTGTAATTGTGCATAACTAAAAATGTTCTTATATAAATATTTCCAGCATTACAGCCTTTTGCAAAAATTATGAGAATTGTTGAAATATCTAAATATCATAATATCGAGTGCATGATGGGTAATCCCGCGCGACGCCCTTGGTCCCTTGTCTTTGTAGTTTAGTTTTTTTTGGCGACAGACTTATCCGTAGTTCTGAACATTTTCTTGATGTCAACAATGAATTATTCTAGCAAACCCGCGTGTTCCGGAAAATATACCTTATATTCACGTATCATGATTAAACTGAAAATTGATGCTTATAATTTAATATTATTGATGAATGTTATCGTATACCATCGAATGTGGATTGAAATTACCGATTAACATTTCTTCATAGTCTTGCTCGCAAAGTACGGAATTTTGATGAAGAAAGAACTTGTCYCCTACACAAAACCTGTAGCCACATGCTTGACAWGCAAAGCAATTYAGGTGAAATACATGGTTKCGAGCCCGCATGACACTTTCCAGCGGAGGAATATCTTTCAGGCAGAACGAACAGCATCCTTTTGATCCAAACAGTCTGAGGAGAAAAAATAAACAAAAATATCATTTTCTGTACTTTGATTTAATCGAGTAGATTGGCTGAATTAAAGAGTAAATGAAAAGCGAATGCCAAGCGATTAATACAAACAAATTAAGATACCATTACAATTCTAATTTAAAAAGGTGTAAATCACGGGAYATGTAAGGTTCACTGTGTACGTTATAAACCAAAAACGRTTGTCGGWTAAAATGACAAATGTTCATTGTCGAACGGCGWATGCACGAGCGAAAGGAGTCATGGGTTTTTGMTAATTGACRGGAAAKAACAAATAATTTCTCTATWTGTGCTGTRTTTGKTCTCTACACTCTATTCTTGGCTTGCAAGTTAMGTAACATCGCCGCCATGTTTGGATGAAGATCACAAAACATTGCTCATTAGTTTTTCTTGTTCATTCATCAAACATGGCCGAGATAGCTTTGTTTGTTATTTCTCATGGGATTCCTGGTGATGTGGTTTGCACAACAAAAATTGATAACAAGTTGCACTTCATGACACCTCAGTTTTGCCTTTCAATACAAYMCAACAATATGCATGACCAATGACCCAGCAAAATGTTTATCACGATCAAATGGCTGATAATTCCCACAAGAGGGTCCAACAAATTTCGAGTTTGTTCCGGTTCTGAATATCAACAATTACTCCATGATATTTATTTTAAGCACAGATAACATAAAAGGATACATTTTGTGTCACTTAAAGRGCACAACTCTCTTTTTCCTAGTTAGATATATATACAGTTTTTATGCATTTTCAATCTACAATTCTACCATTTTTTAAAAGTGCTAAATAATGATTATCGCGTCATTTTTTTTGCAAGGAATATAGGGTGGGAATGTGTCTATGTTTTGACTCAGTCAAGAGCGCATTCCAATAGTAACCCAAAATACMTTAGCTACAGTTAAATCCGCTTTGTTTTCTTATTATTTGACAAAGACTAATAAAGGCAGTACCTACAACCGCGGACAACCGCGTAACACAGGTTGCAATAGGCCTTTTACATGAAACGGTCACATGGTACTAAATCCGCCATTTTGGAGACCAAAAGAATGTAGACAACCTCCAAAACAAAAGGAACGTAGCCCATCAAGCTTGACTTTTCTTTGTTTTGAACTTCCCAGTGGAATTAACTCTTACCCTCCAGGATGGCGGATTTAGTACCATTGGACCCTTTCATGCAAAAGGCCTATTGTCATCTGATGTTCGCGCGCACTTGTAGTGATCAGATGATGTCCGGTTAAAGCGAAATAACTACAGTTTTCAAAAACTTATAGACATCAAAACGAGCTACTTTATTTACTAAGTTGCGACTTAAAAAGGATGACGGAAAAGTGAAATCTTAGCACGTTGAGATGTCAGATAAGGATTATTTGATGTTATACTTAGTACAATGAACGGAACGACGTAAAATCTGCTGATGTAACAATATAGACTTACCGGATATAATCAGTCCTACAAAGTAGCATGTCTTGTTTAAAGTAAAATGTATTCGCCATATCAGAAAGCCTTTTTGAACAATAACTGCATTTCAGGCAATCTTCGTGCCAGTAGTTATCCAGAGCGTACAGCACAAGCTTCGTCTGAATCGGTTTACAGCATTTCACGCAAACACGAGGTGATGCTTCCTCTTCACTTGAATCAGTTTCTGATAAAAATAAATAGTGATAGAGCGTCAGCAGTTGTAAAGTGATTAGAGTTGGAATGACAGGATATTCGCTTTTTTTAGATTAGTTTATCAAGCAGCGGTAAGAAGAAAGCGAAGTTTCTCAGTAATAAACTTTTCAAGTTTAAAGAATAATAAGTTTCTTAAACTATGAGATGCAATGATGAGCAGTTGCAAAGAGCTGTTCATTGCCTTGTCTTGATGGCTTGTTTATAAAATAGTATTCTGTTATCTTTAAGTGATTTTACTCAAACCTCTGTAAATCAAAGTTTGTGGAAACAAACTGAGGGCCTGCCATATTTTGGTCARACAATGTATCTATAAAACGTTTATCCGAAAATGGAAGTTATATCTAAAAGAGCAAAGACTYTGAATTCCAATATACTGACGACATATTGAAACATTGTATACAGTGTAGCAAGAAATATAGATAAAGAAATTGGAACTGGAAAGGTGTCGGAGTAAAAGGGTTTCGCCGGTCTGGATGAAAGAGTTTCGTCGGTCCGGATATGTATATATAAGTTATTTACCGTCTGGGAGGTMCGTATAGGAAAACACTGCCCGAGGTCTTGACAGTACGGAACGARCGCRGCGAACCGSGGTGGGGGTGGGGGACACTCTATCCATAGTCTGCATGGATKAAACACGCATTATGTAGCTGCATAATGCATGATAAATTGTTWATGATAATAACGRCGATTGTTTTTTGTCTTTTTTTTTTTCAGCCAAAGATAAATCAATTTTCATATATTTTATTTGCAAGTTTGTAAACATCTTTGAACTCAAATAAATTGTTGTTGTTTGATCGGTTTATTTCAGCTATCGACGAACTAATTAGGTAATTCTCAGTGAACGGAAGTTCGTTACAATCAAAATATTACAGCAAATACATGTTTATACATGCAAAAAAATTACATGTTTGATGTATATTAGAAGCTCTAATTGAGAGAAGAATCCAAAAGATATATTTATGRATGCGCATTCAGTATTATTTCTTCTTTGTAACAAAAATTTAATAAATTTAAGGCATTGAATGCCTTTTACATGGTAAGCAAGCACACTTTTCGTGCATATCGTTTGATTTTGTTCTTTTCTTTACTTATTCTTTTCTGATATCTTTTCTYTTTGTCATTTTCTCGTTACAAATGTCCACTCGCTAGCCTAAGGATGACTCTTGGCAGATCAAGAGCTAGGAATCATACACTTATCAAGCCACCATACAACCAACAAACATCCCTCAATATGTTTATAAAATTATAAACTGACAGTGGATCGGACATATCAAAAGTGTAAACAAAAGAATTAGTGGATGGCTTTGGATGGAATGTTCTACAAACTCGATCGTGATATGTTAAACGCTACATCTATACCATGAATAATCCAACAAATGAGAAAAAAAGGTGATTCGACTAATMTGAGTACATAATGCTATTGAGTGGTGCAATCAGCACTTCTCATTTGACCGAGCCTAAAATGGGGCTGTCTCAATTCAGTAGCCGCCCATGAAACATTACTAAGTATCACTTGTYTTGACGGCTAATGGACCAAATTTCTTTCATAAAAATACCAACTGCCTTACATTAGATGTCAAACGAGCTAAATATATTGTATAAACCACTTACCCATTATATGCAGACCGGTGATCTGTTTCTCAAAGAATSAGATAAGCTTTCTCAGCAAGGTTATCGATAGATCCTCAACGACCAACTGACGACTTGTCAACGAATAACGCGACTTTTGCAACAAATCATTTCCGTCAATAAACAAAAATAACAATGATAAAAATATATATACTTGTAAAGGCATCAAGTAGAATTTGATAGCTTCACCAAGCCGGAAAATCAAGCTTTCCAAAATGCAATGTAAGGATCACGGCCGACCAATAGCGGAAAACTCCTAGGTCATAATTTATCCTATGCTAACTTCTTGTAAATCAACAAAACTAAAAACAGATTTTTTTTGGGATTTATCCGTTTCTTCATTCATTCTTAATTAATGAACGTATCCAAAGAACGAGAATTGTTCATCTTTGTTTCATCAGTCACACCGCTGCTATTGAATATAGAAACCACACCCAAAGGACGTGGAGAGACCCTACATCACCGGTTTAACTAACTTTTTGGAAGCATTAGTACTGAATGGGGAAAATAGCCGAAAAACAAAAACAAACAAATGAAGAAAGACTCATATTTGAGTCAAATATGGAAAAATTTCATATGCAAAATCACAAAAGCCCGGTCATTTTTCCTTTGGTTATATTGTTGGAAATAACCTATTCAGTTATTAAATATTATTATGCTTGATGATAACAAAAAAGTGAAGAAAAAAAAAGGCCAATTCACAGTTAACTTTGCCCAATTTGATTTTGAATTTTCAAATGACAATACTCAGAAAATACAAACCAAAAGCGCATAATAATTAATTGTCCGGTTCAAAAATATTGTCACCATACATATTTCAAACACAAGTTTCATCAAATCATAAAGTCATTCGAGGCTGTAATTTTATTGATTCTCTGCGTTTTTTAATCTCTCTCAATCGAGTTCTGCTGATATGGTCTTGTTTTCAGCGAAATCTCCACAATTCTTGGCAAGAGCAATTCACACAGATTGCTGCTTTTCCCCATATTTTTGCAGTATTTTCTTGCTGTCGAAATGTCAAAGCGAAAAGTCATCCTGTTATTTATAAAAATTGAGCCTTAAAACGCTTGACGAAAGTAAATACTCCGATTTCGAGTTCTGGTCTGCTCTGTGTTAGCCTCAAAACCAGGGAACATATTCTTTTGTTTCATTGATAGCTCGAATAAAAACGTATTTGAATTTGAAAAGGGCGACAATAGAATTGATTTGAAATCTCACACTTTTATTCTCACAATTAGGAATGTTTTGCGCACGAATGAGGCTAACACAGAGCACTGGAGAATTCGAAACTGGATTATTGTCTTTCATCTTCGCAAAACGATATCCCGGATGTGCATGCAGACGCGTCGCGTAGTTATGACAAAATTGGCGGGAATATTTCTGTGAGTGTGCTTTGATTTCGCTCTCCTTTGGACWTTTGCTTGTGATTACTTTTTCTCAGTATTAGTAATATCATCATTTTGGAAGTGTTTGAGAAAAAAATTTCGATGTTTCAATGAATATTTTGGCGCTTTTGGAGCTTGGATTTCCTGTGGTGGTACACGGACGGAAGGAAGGAAGGAAGGAAGGAAGGAAGGAAGGAAGGAAGGAAGGAGGGAAGGAAGGAAGGATGGAAGGATGGAGTAGGGAAACGTGCGTACGCGCGGGAACCCTGTGTCGGTCCATTGAAAATCGACTCGATGGATATACCATTTTTTCTGAGCTATGGTGCTCCGCTCGCGCCTCCTCGTAACTACACCACCACCTTTAAATGTACCAACAACAACGAGTCCGCCCCGTCTTTGTGTTATTTTTGCTTTTATAATTATATGTGTGTGTGGTTTTTGTTGTTGTTTTTTGTATCTTTGTGTACGTCTGTATAATAGCACAAATAAAACAGTATTTAAAACTACTTCAAACAATAAATGTAATAATCAAACCCTAATCAACAGCATTTGTGACAACTTCTAAATGTAATAACAGGGGGGTTGTGGGGGAAGGGGAGGGTTAGGTGGCACTCCCATATATTTGCTATTTGGGTATGTGCCGCGCTCAACAAGGTMATGGTTTTTCATTTAAGTCTTGGGTAAGGTATGGCCTTGGTCTAGGATAGGGTTACAATTTGACCAGTTGTTTTAGTCTGAACAGAGGCACGCTTTGGTCAGAAACGATCTAAATTCCTTTCAAAAGTCAGAAAATTAGGGTGTACAATTCTTAGGTTTGRTCTGGGGTAAGATATGAAAAAACTAAATTTTAATACAGCATGTCTGGGATAGGGTCAGGGTATATTGAGGTCCTTGCGGCACACACCCATCCAAGTTGGGGTTGCAGTACTACCCCCCAACCCCCTCCCGAGGTAATAACAATACAGTATATTAAAAGAATATAAATAATGCTCATATCTGATTCAGGTTTTGTTTTCCTCGCCAACCATGTCCTCGGTAGGTCATTCTGTTGACTTGACTATGGACTGAAAACACGCATTGAATTTCACTCTGTTGTACGTGGTTGATTCAATAACTTGAACAAACTCAGTCCAATGAACATTGTTTGCATGAGTCCTACCAGTGATCGCGATGCAAATTTATGATATCCTATAYCGTTAAAACGTGAGAGCAARAGAGAGGGAGAGAGAAAGACGCATCAAGAGTTGGGAATTTAATGTCCATTTGAGCCGCTGAACTCCAGCTTGCGGCCACGTTATAAAAGGGCGTGTCTCCGCACACGTGTATTAAATAATTTCTCAGACAGACACCACGTGGAATATAAGGAGTCTTTGGTTTTATTTTAATTGGTTTTCCCTTCAACTTTATATCTGAATGGTAAATGGGAGGATTAGAATGTTTGTCGTTTAACCTTGTCATTCTACCTCAGGGAATATTAAAGATTAAATCATAAAATTTCAAGGTTTTACAAATAATTTGTAAAGATTATTACATCTTTATTAACCACACGCCGTAATGTGTTCACATGCTTGATGCCACCGATGTTTAATTAGGATGGTTACACCGCGTTAGAATTAGTAGATTTATGCACATGCGCTGTTAACTTATTTTTGGTTATTTTTGTGGTCTTTAGCGGTTTTCTTGATTATTCTGTCATGTGTTATCACATAGTTATCTTTTAACTCTAGTGCTGTATACTATACTGCTATTGTCAAAGTTGTCGGAGAGAACAAGAACTGCACGACCGAAAGGTACTATGGTTATTAAATATTGATAGATTATATCCACCTATCTGTAGGCAAAAACACAGGCAAATTAAACCAAGCAAACAGTCATCSAGGATCTTTATTGAGGAGAATAAACCGTATTGAYTGCCTTTGATAGGTGACTATTGCTATCAATAATCAATACCCATGACACCTTGCAGTCGATGCCGACACATTTTTCGATCAACCTTTTGCAAAAAGCTGTACATCATTAGCGTTATTGTTGAACTGTCCAATAAATTGCCGTTTCATTAATTATTTCTTGCAAATGCACGTGCGATCAGCATTAAATTAGTGAGCAAAAGCGTTTATTAATACCAAATGTTTCACATAATATATCTTAGGTTTTACATTAAATTCTTTTAGAGTAATTCGTTTTTTTTAAACGAGGATAATTTCTCTCATTGTTCATGCTTAGCATTACTGATCTTGGTGCGACATCTGAAAAGAAATTAGAACACAAAGTCACGGGTATTAAACTCAATCGACCCAATTAACGCGAAACTGTGCGACCACAACAACTACAGCAACTATCCTAGCACTTCATCAAACGCTTCGAAGTCAAAGATCCTGGATTTTTTTGACACGAAACATAGCAGAAGTGACTTTAAAAACAAATTTGTACTTCAATACTTGAAATTTAATGCTATAACATTCTGTTAAGTCTGAAAACGAATCCCAATTATATCATGCTGCTTTTCTCTTTTGTTTAGTTTTAAGTTGTTGTCTTCTTTTGAATATGCCATTCTTTCTCAGCACAATACTTTTTTCTTATATTTTCAAGTATAATTTCTATTTTTATTTGATCCTTGATAATTGTGATATCTTTGATTAGTGTTTTTTTATTCTTTCCTTATTTTTACTCATTTATCGAGTCTTGTCTTCGCACTGAAAGGATTCTCTATAGATCGATTCACTTGTTTGATGCGGTTTGTGATAGTTACCTTTGACAAATAGTCCTCTAGCATCCTTCGGTCGATGTTTGAGATGTTGTCACGTGCCCGGCTTTTACGGCGGCTGCTGTAGAACTTCCTAAATGACCCAAAGCGGCTTTTACGGTTGCCCCTTCTGGAGCCAAGACGAAGTTTCTGATATATACCACAACTCATAGACAGGCATCGACGTTCTAGCTGAAGATCTCGGCCTACTTCGAACCTTGAGTCAGGGAAAACTCCATTATCGTCTTCACTGCGTTTGACTGGAATAGCGAGAGCTGATACAGCGACTCCGAGGATTAACAGGGCACTGATGGTTAACTGTGAAATAGTTCAAAAACTATGTCTTCGTCCTTTTAAAAAAACTTTTACTAATTACTTTCAAAATTGTTTCTAAATCGTTGAAAGAGTCAAGTAATATAGCTATTTAGACTTCTATTTAAATACTTAAGGCAAAAAAGGGCGATTTTAGGAACATCATTTTTTGTGCGTTTAAAAGGAATTTCAAACAAAACCCATCGGTCACAATTGATTAAAAAAAACCAGCCACGCTTTATATTAAATGAATAACAAGGAATTGTGGTTTTAGGCAGATGCATTTCGAAATCGTACAGAGAAATTGTTTTTAAGGCTAACTCTAGATATCTTTACCTTCATGATTTTCCTGTTGAAGTCGTTTTGTCTCTCGTTGCGAACGCAAATGAATATCTTCACAGCATCAGCTATGATATGCCGCCACCTTTGAGGATCTACTTTAATTGGTCAATTAAAGACACCCCCTATTAGGCTTCTTATATTGAGCTAAAATAATTCCTATTTTCAGTGGAACAATTTAAGTGGCTGGAATCAAAATTTACACAATCTTATTTATAAAAGTGTAAATCAAATTCCGGCCAGTGCCGTTAAATCAAAAGKGCCGGCTTTGGTATTTATTAATKATAGAAGTTTTGACTCAGTTGTTAAGCCTCTATAAGAGTTAGTTAAGCCTCAATAACACTCCCAGCCGTTATAGCTTTTAATAACTTAATCATCTAACCTAGAAATCGTAACATGTAATGTAAGAACTTTGCGATATGATTTAAATCAAACGATACCAAACTTTCGTGTTTTTTGTTGTGTTAATGATAAATAATTGATTTGCTCTTGACAAACCTATGGGTTAATTGCGGTGAAGGCCTTTGTTGCTTCCCTAATAACCTGACTAAAATATGTATGGACGGGCCCGAAAACACAGCTCTCCACTCTCAAATACCACATGATAAACAAAAAATACCTTAAATTGCCAATCTCATCTCATTTGGAGATTGTTTACTCCACAACATGCCGATATTTTGACTCCTTTGTTACAATCAGCTGCTAAGTGACGTCATGCAGATACACCCCCGAAACGTGGGTCGAATATTTAATAGTAGATGAAAGGCTATGGTCGAGATTTGTTTGGGATGAAAYGGTTTAATGATCCAATTAGAATTGCCAGTATTCATAGATGCTGTTTCGAGGGCAAATTCGGATCCTTCTGGAAGGATAATTTTGTTTTTTTTAAGGAAAAGAAAGCTAACCACACCTTTGTTTTGCGTTAGTAGTATATTGATCGTTTTTCTGGTTTAGAGGAATCTATGATCCAATTAGTACAAAGCAAACAATGATTGTAATTGTGACCGTTTAATAGCGGAAACACGATATAACTCAACTGGCTAGTAAATCTTTTGTTGATAGGACGCTAAGTATAAACAAACACTTTATGATCTAAAATACACTTTCTATCTAGTAACGTAGTCGTCTAAACTAAAAACAATCCTTTAGAAAATTTAAAAAAATTCTCTTTGTTATAAATATTGTTTATTATACATGGCGAACATATTTATCTTTTTTTCGTCTTTACGACTATACCGATAATTATTTATTTAACTTAAATGCAAGTAAAAATATCATTGTTGAACATTTATAGTCTGTGTAAATTGTATTGAAAAGGGAGGAAAAACAGCCCGTTTGGTTTGAGTGATTTTTTRTCGTCGTTGATGATGAAATAAGGAATATAAAAGTGATATAGAAAATGAAAGAAAGTTATAGTGCTTAGAAGGAGGCAATTCCGGGAGAAGTCCCTTAGGAATAAATTCGGAAAAATTAATTTCCGACTTCGCTGGGATTCGAACCCACGACCTTCGGATTGTACACCGATGCTCTACCAGCTGAGCTACAAGGCCAGACTGGGAGCAGGTCGGGGTGAAATAGATRTTAAGGTTTGATTTTTTGATTTAGTCAATCAACGTGCYAACATATACTTTTTTCAAGCATAGATAGATAGTTGTCGCATAAAATGGGAAATGTTAATTGTCGAACGGAGATTTCACGACCGAAAGGAGCCATGAGTTTGGCTAATTGATGAGAAATAACAACTGACTTATATTGAAATATAGTCTGTGGTAAACATTGGCTCCATTTAGTCTAAAGTCTTAAGGTGAAACCAACGAGTAAAACAAACAGCATAACAAACAGCGATACCATAGTCCCTTTCGGTTATACCATTTACTTTCGACAATCGGCGTTCTCCCCGACAATGTTTTTTGAAATAGGTGTAAATATGTATAAATACAGAATTATGTTTAAATACAGATTTTTTTTCTAGAAAAACAACTGACTGGACTTGAATCCGCACTCGAAAGAGACCACTAACCATCTKTTGCCACTGAAATAAGACTTAATCGAGGCGATATAGTAACATACCCAGTCAGTTGAAGTCCAGTTTGTCGATTTTTCTATTAAAGGGAC